ATGGTAAAAGAGTATCTGTAGTTACTTCACTTAAGCATCCATTCTATGTTAACTGCAAAGTGTTTATAGGGCATTACAGTAAAACAGTTTTCTTTTTAAAATGGACATTTAACCATTAAGTTGATATGCTGACCTCTTTCCCAGTTATGAATACCTGATGTTTCTTTTCTCTCCTTTTTTGCCCATTCTTAGTATTTCTATAACAACTGAAAGGGTTGAATGAGTTGTGAGAAGTAACATGGTGTTTTTATGGGTTGAGGTTTATGTAAGACTTTAGAAGAGTGAACCTTATGTTGCATATGTTTAGATTCCAACATATTGGCAATTTTGAATTTCTTAGCTAGCACACAGTACTGCAAAAATAGTTAATGCATAAACAAGAGGGTAGAATCTGAGCTGCCTTCCCAACAGCTTATCTGTTACAGTGTAAGAGTCTCTTAATTTGGAGCTAGCTCGAATTGCTGGGTGCTTATAACTGCATTGTCAGCTGAACAACCCTGAAAATCCCAATTCTATTCCTCTTGGTGCTGACAGTAGCCAAATTCGTGGCATTAATCTGATTTTCTTTCCTTACTTACTTCTAAATGGCTGAAATTAATTCTGAGAGTCAGGAGAGGAGAGGGTTAGGGTTTTTGAGAGATCAGCTTCATTCTAATGAGATTTAAGAGTAAAGGGTAAAGCTTGAAGTAGTTTACCAGTGAGTTCACTCAACGTTTCAGCTTTTTAAGTTTTTGAGCTTGCTTGCAACCTAGCTAAAATATTGGTAGTTTGCAATATTGTCTACAAAAATTAGATTAGAAATATTAAATACATCTGTTTCCTGAGAGCATGACAAACAGATGTGCAGCTCTGTTGATTGTGCCTTCAGTTACTTTCCCATAATCCTTCCTTTGCAAGTTACTATTGTGTTTGTTGCATAATCTGAGCTCTGGCTTCTGTACTGATGTAATTTTTAATGTAAAATTACTGATGTAATTTTTAAATAATTCTCTGTGACAGGAAAATCTGTTCTGCACACTCCTGTCACTGCTGCATGGTTTTTGGTTTGTACTGGGAGTTTTGATTACCATGCTAACTTCAAAATCCTTAGTGAAAAGCTAATTTTATATTCAACACTTGAGAAAGGTTTATGCTTGTCCTGTCTTGGTGTGTTAGAAATTTTTGACAGGTGATCATGTAGAAAATGGTATTGTATTCATTTACTCTGGTTTGATGGAGTTCTGTTACCTTTTTGCAAACCTGCTTGCAAACTCCAGGTTTTTTAGTTTGCTGTTCTGCCACACAGACTTTCCACAGGTCATGACAGCTAGGTCTGCAATGCTGGTGTATGTGAGGAGATGCCTCAATTGAATGATTTCAAGCTTACTACATCTTGTAAGCCATGTATTCGTATAACTTGAATGTAGGTAAATTGTAAGCTTGAAAAGTGAGAGAATGAGATCCATTTCTGTACATTTATATCTCCTGTGTAGAGTTATAAGCAACTTCTGCTGAATATTTTAATGTGGTAGAGCTTCCATTTTTTAAATCCACATTACAAGTGAGAAATCAAATAGACTGTTCAGCTGTTTCAGTACATACCTCATTGTTAAAATATATGTTTTCAATTCTTCAGTGGTATCTAAGCTTTCACAACCTTTTTGTGAGTATGTCAGATTTGTAACTGGCTGCAGATCCATTAATTGTCCTGCATGGAATCAATTCTCACCAAGCTGAATAGGGTCAGTGGAGCTGACAGAAAGGTAACTGTGGTACAACAAATTTGTCACATTCTTCATTTGGTTTGATCTGAATCGTGGAGGTGAATGGGTGGGTCATGCTCACTGTACCTCTGCCTCTACTTGATTCTCAGTTCTTTTGAAAGTTACTCCCAGGCAATTGAAGCAATGCTGTGACAGCAAGTTCTTGATTCAAATTAATATTCAGGCAGCTAATGACGAGCAGTATTATACTGAGCTACAGCTAACACAATGTTCATTCACTCATTAAGTGTCAAAATATAGTAATAATGGTTTATTTTTATCCTTTCTTATGCTTGCAACCAGGGTCTCAGACAGAACACTTGCTCCAGCCAGCCAACGTGTTAGATCCTGCCTGGTGGCTTGGCCCCTTCACGTCGTGGTTGCAGCTCCACTTTGTCAGATGTTTGTGCATGTGTCCCCTTTGTTTGCATTATTTATTGCTGTATTTGATCATCAACATAGGCTACTGATGCTCCCCACTAATCTTCTAGTCTCACACTAATCACTTTGACTTTCACTAAGGTCATTCAGTGAATGTCTCCAGGGCTTCCCTAGATGTGTTAGAAGACTGTCTGTCTGGAGGTCTGTCACCAAAGAGAGTGACTTCTTTGAATGCCTGGCAGGCCAGCAGCACCCCCCCCCCCCACCTGCTAGCCTCTGATTTTTCCAGTCTCTGGTACTCCAGACATTTTCAGATGGATGTGAAAAATGTAACTAACCCCAAATTGAAGATGCAAGGAATCAACCTATGCAATGCTTTGCCCTATTCAATGCTTTGCCCTACTGCTGGTTATTGGTTATTTTATCCGGGATGTGCATGCTGGTTTATGTTACTATATGGCCACAAACAAATACACAGGTTAAATTCCACAGGTTATGTGCCTTGGTAATTTGATGTGTAACACCTGTAAGTATATTTGGTAAAAAAAACTACAAAAATTTGGGCTGTCAGTTGCCAGATTTATTTTGCACTTTCTGAAATAGCAAGCAGCTGCGGCCAGTGGACCTCTTAACTCCTCAAAATACAAGTTTCTGCTCTTAACTTTTTCTAAAAAGACAGGTGGGAACAGAGTGTCAGGGAAGTGGTGGGTGATGAGAGCAGTGTGGGGTCTGCCTCTTCTGGCAGTGGGTAGCTCACTTACAATATGAAACTACTACTGGAATCTTTCGCTTTCTGTCATAACTCATCTCCATTGCTGGTGTGCACACTGTTTTGAAAGGCCCATTGCTTCATTTTTGACATTATGTAGCACTTATAGCTTTATATCACAGAAATAAAAATGATAAGACCATGTAAGCAATGGATGTTCCTGTATGCATTTAGAAGACACATGTAGCACAGACGTTCAAAAGAAATGATGCAACTATAGCCTTCCAAAGTTATCAGAAAAATTATTCAAATAGAGTAAATAGATGTTTATTCTCCATGTATGGGAAACATGTAGCAATGTGGTAAATGATTTTTGGAAGGAGGCAAACAAAGGATTAAGTCTTGAATGTAGGTAACTAAATATTTTCTTTCTAAAATAATGTTTCTAGAAAATGCTTGGGGGTTTTTTTGCCTGAAAGCCTTCACTGCTTACTCTTTTTAGTTCAGCAAGTACAACAGGACATAATTGCAAAAATAATTTTAATTTTAAAAGCTTCAGCTTGCTAGCTGTATTTGTCAAACTATACATATATGTAATGTCTCTTCTGAATTAAAATCTAAGTATTTGTAAACGGTTCTTATAACTAACAAAAGAAGGAGTGGGCAACTTCACCATTCTGATACATTATCCTAATTAATTTTCCTAAGTATCCAGGTGCCTCCCTAGGACTAGGAAATACAAGTCTGGGACTGTGATCTGTAGATGTCACTTCTATTTCATTGTGGCCATATCCCTGCACTATTTTCTTATTGACTTCTTGCAGGTTTACATTTTTGTAATAAAGAAATAAAACCTTTGAAGTATTTTCTTCGCTGATTCTGAGAAGAAACATTACATAGAGCTCAGGGAAATAGTGGCAGGTTTGGTTTCTGACCTAAGAGTTAAGAATAAAAATGCCTAGTTGAGCATATAACTAGCAGAAAGCTTGACTCAGAAGAGTGGTGACCTAGTTGTTGTTTAATAATTTACCAGAGTCATTCATAGCAAACCATTAGTGTTATTGTTAAACTCAGATTTCACAGTTACTTGTGGGTGAAATTACTTTTGGCTTGTCTCAGCATTAACCTCTTAAAAATCTTACTTTTAAAGTAAATGCATAGTTTAATGTGGAAGCAGAATACTTAGATGCCCATTTTTCTATAAGGTGCTAACTTCCTTCATTTCTTAGATTGCATGAGCATATGCAATTATGGAAGGATGTACAACCATCTGTTCCCAGCCCCTTAATTAAAATGACAATAACAATTCCCATGATCCCTCCTTATAACAATTCCAGTGGTCTGGTGGGTCAGGAGGGTTATTTACAGAACAGCCAGATACCAGAGCAGAGGAGTAAATAATACTGAGTAGCAGTGGGCCTTGAGTGATTGAATGATGAATCCTTTCTGGTCAGATATGATTTGGGGCTTTTTTCTTAATGTCCCCTCACAGGTTTCTATGAATCTGAAAAATTCTGCTTGCAGTTGCATTGTGCATTCCCAGAAAACCTTCTATATCATATCATATCATATCATATCATTAACTTAGGGAGCTATGCAGCCGTAGTAGGTCAGCCCCTTAGAATGTGTGGAGAAGATCCTTTGGATAAAGAACTTACAGGGCCCGATTTTTAATTTGTTGTGCACACTGAAAAACTTGACATTAGTAAACTAATAGTCTTTCAGCATCAGTTATTATACACTCTGTGTTCAGTCCTGAAAATTCTGTAACTAATTGGAAAGCAGTTCAATGTAGAAAAAGAGTGCTAGAGAAAGTTGATTTGCTGACTGACATCTGCTTCCCTGTGAGGAATGGTCCTACAGTGGCAGCTTTGCACTAGCTGTCTATGCCACTTCAAAACCCAGTAAGAGATGGAAAAATAATATTCTATCTTAAAAACAAGGGGTAAATTAGCACCCAGGAAGAGCTGTACCAAATTGCTGTATCCTTTGCAGCACTGGGCGAGGCAATGCTGCCAGCTGAGTCATTCCCCTTGCTCTCACGGTCAAGGTGGCAGTACCAAGATAGTAACTGACAGCTGGAAAAGCAGCTTCTCTTGTGGGAATTGCTGGTTTGTTTTCCTCTAGGACTTTGTTTCTAAGTTATAATTAAGGTCCTAGGTTTTTGCTTTGCTAGGACAAACCTGCTTATTTTTCACTTTTTAAATTTGGAGTAATAATCAGTTCAGGTTAGGCTGGTGAGTGCAGAGCTTATTGCTTTTTTGGAAATAATAAGTTCATGCAAGGTTATGCGTGTGCAGGCAGACTTCCAAAGGAACTTGAGAGGAGGCTGGACTCCAGTGATTGTTACATATCCTGCCAAGCTTGTTGGGTTGACATGAGGGCTCATGTCTCCAGATCAGTATGCTGTGATAGGAGGACATGGTGGAAAAACTGCTCACCCTTTAAAGAATGCCCCTGTTTGCCATGCCACTTTATAAAAAAATCAGGAAAAAATCAATTCCTTCCCACTGCAAAAATCGTATTCTTCAAGCTGTGTGCTTAATGTGGGCTCTCTTATGAAGACCAGCAAAAGAAATGTCTTCAAAGCATCAGTGCCAAAAATTCCACATGCCACTCAAGACATTTTTGTTCTGTATTGCTGTTGTAGGTTTGGATGGTTATTCAGCTGGCTTCCTGCCTGGTGTCCCACATCACTGCTACACCTTAAAGAGGCTGAGGACAAAATGCTAAAATGTAAGTCTTTGGTTTTTAATAGGCTTCACAGATATAATTAGATTTTCTATCATTTTACTTTAAATATAATGAGATAAGTTTTTCAGTATGTCTTTTACATACTTTGTATGTGAAAGACTTTCATCTTTTAAACAGGTTTAAAATTGCATTTTCCTTTTTCACTTACGTACATATGTGATTAGAAGTTCTCTCCTTTGAAAGGGGCTCCTATTTAAAGCAGTGGTTTCAGTCGAGAGTACAATGAATTTGTCAGACGTGTCCATCAACATAATTTTTTCCCGTTTTTTCTCCAGGTATTACAAGCATGTACAATAAACGATATGTGTATATATCTAATGGAAACAAAATATGGACACTGACGTTCTCTCCAGACGTTTCAAATAAAACTCCCCTTGTTCTCCTGCATGGGTTTGGAGGAGGTGTTGGACTGTGGGCTCTCAACTTTGAAGATCTCTGTGAGAACAGGACCGTTCATGCTTTTGACCTCTTAGGATTTGGGCGTAGCAGTAGACCACACTTTGACACTGATGCTCGAGAAGCAGAAAATCAGTTTGTGGAATCCATAGAAGAATGGAGGAAGGAGGTAGGGCTAGAAAAGATGATTTTGCTAGGACACAACCTAGGTGGATTCCTGGCTGCTGCTTACTCCTTAAAATATCCATCAAGGTATGTGAAATAAAGGGGATTTCTTTTCTGTATTTGACTATTGATTTTAATATAGATTTTATTTCATCAAGCTCTTTATAAATAATCTTTATGTAGATGACTGTGATGTTTTAAAGACGTGATACTGAATTCTAAGACCAAAGTATTAATTGTATGGTTTTTTTCTAGGTGAGTGAAATAGGTAGATATTGTAAATGTGATTTTCTGTATGCTTTTCTGTATCTCTTCAGTTCAGTACCCCCTTGCCATGTTATAAGGTGAAATAGCAGTGAATATATTTATGGGTGAATATAAAGATTGTTTTTTGAAAAGAAAATAGGCCTGTTTCTGCCTAACTTCCCACTCTTATGGATAACATTGAAACTTATGAATATAATTCCCCTAGGTAATTTATGCCTATATGCCAGCAGTCAGCCTGGTGCCAGCAGAATGATAAAAAAATAATTTCATTGACTCTTTGATTTAAATTGTCTGTATGCCACTTCATATTTCTTTGCAAGACAACCCATTTGCAGCAGTTCTCTAATTGTATTTCATCAGCATTTTCTGCACCATGTTGTGTCCAGCAGTTAATACATTTTTTTCCACTTAAGGTAGTAATTTGTTTCTTTTATATATCTGGTTATAAATCTGGTTGTATATCCCTTGCTGAGCTAGGATCTCACCAGCTGAGGTGAGGTAATTCTGTATCAAAAAAGGGTAATGCTTTTGTTGGGATATACATAGTGGTCTCCTATGAAAAACTGAATATAAGCTTAAGTCTTCACTTCATATAGAAAATTCTTTATTTTACTAAACATATCTTACTCTTTTCTATTCATGTCAAGTTTTACTGGTTTTTTGTTTCTTTTTGCTTGAATATATTTGAAGTAATTTCATGCATCATTTTCCCCTAAAACACTTTGCCTTTTTCTTTCTAAATGGACAACAGTTAGCACAAGGGGCTGGAAATGATGTGTGAAAGTAGGTGTGTTTCTAAATCCAGAATTTCAATAAAGATATAAAACTATTATCCTTTTAGTTATAAACGAACTGTAGTTAGCTTTTTGTAGGGATCGCTTCTAATTTCCTTATGTCTTTTTCCAAAATATCTATAGATGGCACTGTCCTATCCTTATGGGATGGGATATTGGTTTTACCCACTGCTGACTTACATCAAAAGTGATGCTTCATTTTCATGCCTCACCATGCTTAAGTTGGGGTTAATTAACTTGGGGATGTTTCAGTTTGTGCTCTCACATTACTAATGCTTCTCTGAAATTAAGCTAAGACCACCAAAATAACTATTGACTGTTAAAATTTGTTAAAATTGACTGTTAGGGTCCTAAAAGAGCAATGAATCGAGTGATAAATATAGCACAGCTTTCAGCCAGGTTATCTAACAATGCATTAGAGGCTTAAGGGATTCTGGATACATTTTGTTAGGAAAGTAGATCTGTTTCGCCAAGCATAGATGATCCGTTAATTTGCTACACTGTACCAGAGTCGTTCATGGAAAATCCAAGACTACTAATCCAAAAAGATTCCCATTTAGCATACTGCCAAGTTGAAGTGGGCCATGATTTTCAAATACTGCAATTTCTGGACATTTATCTTTGGAGTGATTCTCATGGTCAGCTTCTCATTATCCTGGGTTAGGTTTTAGGCTTGATTACCAAAAGGAGAAATGCCAAACAGGAAGGAGAGTATTAAGAAAGGAAACATGAAACAAAGGTTACTCTGGTTTTATTCATCTGTTTGCTGTATTATACTTAATGCCACAGTTTGTGCACAGAGTGTGTGGCTGTCCTGAATGGCTCCTCATTGCAGACACTGCTGTGCCTGTGATCTCTCCTGCTTGGTTTGAACAGTTAGATTCTACCCTGTCCTATCTTACCCTTGCTGTTTGCTGCAGGGTGTGAGTACACTCATAGCTGAGCCAACAACCAGGAAACATCTTTGTGATGTTAATCCTTTCCAGCCCTTCATTCCAAGTACAGGTTTTTGGTTTCCCAACTGATCATAACCCAGAAATAACTTTTGGGATCACTTCTGGCATCGTTTTAGGAACTATGAACTCAGATTCTGTGTTAATATATCATCTTATGACTTTAACAGGGAAGGAAGTAATGAAGCAAAAAGTAAAAATAAAAAGACAAAAAGTTTAAGATAAAAATCATCGACAGATTTAGATTAGATAAGACTTTTAGGATTTAGTCCAACTGTTAACCCAGCACGTCTAAGTCCACCACTAACCCTTGTCCTTAAGCGCTACCTTCACACATCTAAATACCTCCAAAGATGGGTACTCAATCACTTCCTTGGGCATAGTATCATAAAATGGTGTAGGTTGGAAGGGACCTAAAGGATCATCTAGTTCAACCCCCCTGCCATGGGCAGGGACACCTCCCACTAGACCATATTGAACAAGATAGTCTGTTCCAATGCTTGACAGCCCTTTCAGTGAAGAAATTTTTCCTAATGTCCTATCTAAACCTCCTTAAGGCCGTTTCCTCATGTCCTATTGCTTGCTACTTGGAACAAGAGACCACGCCCCACCTTGCTACAACCTGCTGACAGGTAGTGCTAGAGAATGATAATGAGGAAGCTGACATGGAAAATCATCTTAAAATGGAAAACTATAGTTAAGAGTCACTCTTTTAAAATCACGACTATCTGGGACAATTAAGAGTAGGTGTTATTATGGGATCAAATGGAAAAGGGACAATTAAAGGGAAAGGGACGGTTCTAATCTAACAGGATGAATTAGAATATTGCTTGACAGGGGCCCACAGCATTAATTGATCATAGTTGCATTTGTTGGAGACTCCTATGGTGCTCAGTGTACTGATACTTTCTTCAAGTAATAATTTTACAAATTGCCTCTCTGATGTTTTCTTTCATGAACTAAAATAAAAAATTTAGAAGACTGCTGCTAGTTTTACGTTGCCTTTTTCAGTTCAGATTTTACTTTGATAAGATAATTTTTCAGTTAAATTGTGTCTCTCCTTTGAACAGAGATCTTAGACTTCTAGAAACTTCACTTAATTGAAACAGATGCAATTATCCTCTTTTCTGTCAAATTAAACTGCTCCTGCAAATAATATTGACTGAGCATTTAGATTAGGTTATTTTTAAAAACAGAAACAAGACTATCGTTTGTCTCAAATGTTTGTGATGGTGAGTATCTGTAAAATACTGAGTTTCTCCTTGTGACACATGCTTCCATGTCTCTGGTTCATACATATGATTAAGTGCAATTCACTCTCTAATTAGTAATTGAAACCAAAATGGTTGATGAATCAGAAACTAAGTAGTAAGCCTCTGTGATAGAAGTGTCTAAAGTAGGCTGTATGTATGTGTCTGTAAAACAGCATGCTGTCATTATGCTCAGTTGAAGAAAAGCTACTGTACTTTAAACTGCTGAACCTTTTTTGCCAACAGGGTCAAGCATCTTATCTTAGTGGAGCCATGGGGTTTTCCAGAGAGGCCTGACAGTGCTGAACACGAAAGACCAATTCCAATCTGGATCAAAGCACTAGGAGCTATATTGAGTCCATTTAATCCATTAGCTGGGCTAAGAATAGCAGGACCCTTTGGTGAGTTTTAACTACTCTTAAATGCCATTTCTATTTTGGTTAAACATAAACATGGAGCAGACAGCATATTTTGATAAGCTTTTTTTGCAAGTCTGTATCACCCATGGAGAGGGGGGTAAAGTTGGAGGAAAAAGTGGGAGAGGTTGAAGAAAGTTTGAACTCTTTAGGAAAGAAGGCAAACTCTTGCTATTAGAAATACTAGGACAATAGTTTCCAGCAAGCTACACTGTATGATCTGTACAGGCTCCAGTTATAGTGAGTTGGATTATGCAGACGTCTGTTGGGGGAACCCTGGCAAAGAGGCATGAATGTGAAAGGTTTTTTTCTGGTTGCCTCTGGTCACAGTCCATTTAGCTTCCCTTCTAATTCCAGTTTGATGAGCAAATAGGATGTCCAAATTCCCTTAACATTAGAAGGCAGTCGCTCATAAATGCAAAATTTTTGGCCTGAGTTTAGAGAAATTGAAACTGAGTTCTTTCCACTAGCCATTTTCTTACTATTCTGGCAAATCTTGTGGGCCTCATTGGTGTCCTGCATTATGGTGGCAGCTGATATTTCCATTTCTTCAACAGCACTGATGGAATGGTAGATACTATACCCTAATACTAGGGCTAGGTAGAGCTGACCAAAAATACTATGGTTTCAGTTCATGTGGGAGTGGGGAGAAAAGTGTAATAAAATCCAGAAGTCACTATATGTATTCCTTCTAGAGGACAAAGAGGTTATCTGTCTGTTACTCTCTGTGCTACAGAAGATTCTTCTGGAGAGGCTTGGAAAAAGATATCCTTCAGGCCCCTCACAAGTTATAATTAACTCACCTCTTCATCACTTTTGGTGTTCAGTTTGAAGATAAACATGTGAGATTAACTCACCTCTTCATCATTTTTGGCGTTCAGTCTGAAGATAAACTCGTGGGATTTCTAGGCCTTGTTTACATTTAAACCACATCTGTTTCCTGTATCTATTTCTATAGAATATATATTTTAATATGCTGCATATGCTGATTTGTTTGTTTCTCTTCAATAGTGTGACAAATTTAGTTTTTCAGACAAGCAACATGTTTTGTACAGAACAACATGTTTTGTACAAACAGATTTTTTTTTTTAAGTAAAATGCTAATTTGGTTAACAAAACAAAATATTGAGTGATATGCACTGATTTAATGTGTTCTATCCAATAACAAGAGCATACATAAATCAATCCACGTGGGAAAATTCAAAGCTGAAATTGTCTCCCTTAGCAATAAGTGGAGTCGAACCATGCAGCACAAGCAGACTCTGTCTTGGCAAGGTGTCCCCTAGCCTTGCTTGCAGGTTGTTGTGGAGGGCAGTGCCTTTAAAAAATTTTTCATCTGTTTCTCACTTTACTGCTAAAAAAGTTTTCTGTCACCAACTTAAGTTCTTGACAGGTGAAACATAGTTCTTGGAGGAGGGTAGGTCTAAACTTTGTGCTGCAAGTAGGTGTCAGGCATAACCTGATGAAGGCACTGAACTGAGCACAGATTTTGTTCCATGTGCAAATGTGCTTAAGCTGATGGGCAGACATAGTTGTTTGAACCTCACTCTAAAGACAGTTGCTCTTGTTCAAAAGTATGAGTTCAAACATGAGCCAAGTTCATTGGGATATCACAATAGTATCACATGGATATTTAATTAGACCCACAGGCAAATACTTAAAACTGTGAGAGAGACAGAATCCAGAGATATTTTTTCCCTTGAGTGGTTTCCAGGTAGTTGATTTGCATGTTTGCCTTCACTTAACTGGAACAGTCACTCAGGAGTCTCACAGTTTGGTGAAAGTTTGGTGCTTAGGCTGAATTTCTGAATTCCAGTCCTAGAGCTGGATGCCTGAAAATTCCTCACAACAGAAATGTCACTGTGACCACACCCTTTTTGTGGAGCTTGGTGTGTTCAGTGTTAGAATTTCTTACCATGTTTTCATAGACACTGTGGAAAACATCAGCCAGACAATTCAGAATTTCTTCAGTAAATATTACAACAATGATTTGCAGTCTGATTTCATTCCAAAATTTGTTCCAAGGCGCCTTGAATTCTTGTTTCATTTTCCCCTATAAATTCTTAGGGGAAAAATGTTTTGGAACTGGACCCACAGACAAAACACTTCTTATAAAACAAAGTGAACTCTAAAATTTGGTAACACTTCATGCCATGGCCTTTATGCTGATAGCAGGGTAAGGCACAGAATTAGTCTCTTTCTTCCGAGTACTCTTATTCCAAGCCAGCTGTGTTCACTTGTGTTCAAAAACCCCAAACGCATGAAAAAGAAGTCCAGCAACTGTATTTTATGTAGGAAAAATAGAGCACAGCCAATTGCCAGACTTTTTATACAAAATCTTTATTGCTTTGGGAGTTAAATCACTGTTTCATAAGGGAATTATTTTCTCTTGCACTGTATTAGTTTTCTAAATCTGTTTAAAGCATGCGTAAGGGCATGTTGCAATAATCTCAGGGTTACGAAAACATAGATCACTGTGACAAGGTCTACATAAATAATGCCAGGCCTTTGCCCAGGACTGGGTGGATAGAAGTGACATCATTGTAATTGCCCAGATTAACAACAGTATGAAGTTCCTACCGTCTGGAAAAAGGGAACCGTAACTGTGAATAGTCACACTCAGTCAGCTCAGTGTCCATGTGATGGGTATCGTCCCTCACAGATCAGTATTGGGATCAGCTGTTACACATCTTTGTCAGCAGCACTGGCACTCGGATGGAGCCTGCTGGTGGCACCAAGCTTTGTGGTCAACAAGCTGTAGGGGAGGGATACCAGCCAGAGGGACGTGGACAGGCTTGAGAGGTGGGCCATGCCAACTTCATGAAGTTTAGCAAGGCTATGTGCAAGGTCCTGACCACCTCTGAACATAGAATAGATTGAGAACAGCCCTGAGGAGAAAGACCTGGGGTGTTGTTTGATGAGAAGCCCAAAATGACCCAGCAATGTGTACTCGCAGCCCAGAAAGCCAGCCACATCTTGGGCTGCAATTACACAACATCAACCCCATCAAAAGCAGCGTGGCCAGAAGATTGAGGGAGGTGATTCTCCCCTTCTGCTCTGCTCTCGTGAGACCCCCATGTGGTGTACTGCATCCAGCTCTGGGGCCCCGGTATAAGAATATTGGAGACATTCCCGTTGGAGGTAGTTGAGAGGAGTGACATGAAGGTCATCAGAGGGCTGGAGCACCTCTCCTATGAAGATCAGCTGAAAGAGTTGGTTGGGATTCAGGAAAGAAGGCTCTGGGGACACCTTGAAGGAGCCTTCCAGTACCTAAAGGGGGCCTGCAAGAGAGCTGGAGAGCAACTTTTTACAAGGGTCTGTAGTGATAGGACAGGGGCTAATGGCTTCAAACTGGAAAGTTTAGATCAGATATTAGGGATGACTAATACTCTTAAACTAAGATTAGCCTTATGGCAAGGCTCTTGTCCCAAAGATCCATCTGGTCAGTGTAGAAGAGATTTCTTCCTTAGAGAAATGATTCAGAAAAAGATGCTTAAGTTTAGAAGGCCTGAGCTGGCCCCTGAAAAGACCCACTTCTCTACTGGCTTGTTAGGAGAGCATGAGGACAATGGTTTACAGCATTAAATCTCTTCGTTTATACCAGTATCTGTGCCTTATGTTAAGATTTCCACACGTGTTTTTCATCATAGATTTCTGTTCTTTCAACCACACACTAGTTAGATGAACTAGCTTCAGAAGCAGACTGTTCTGTAAGAGGAGAAGACAGACTTAAGAAAGAAAAACACCCCAGCTTTTTCAACAGTACCTTCTGGTCCTGAAAGGTGTAGTGCATTTAACCTACCCAGTGCTGCCAGAGCAAGGAGAACATACTGGTATAATGTGAGACTAAACTGGTAACAAAAAGACACTGCTTAGCCCTTTTTCTGGTCCCCATTGTAGGTTTCTTCTGTTGCTGTAATGACTCTACTGAAACATTCGGTAGGGAGAGCAGCATAAAAGTTTTTAAGTATTTATATTTCATTCCTGATAAGTATAATTCTCCCTTGTTTCCCTAAGACATGCAAGTGGTAAAATCAAATACAGGTTTAGAAGCCACAAGTTTCAAGGGTATGTGTTCTGAGGGCTCTAATGAAAAGCATTAGGCAGTCTGACCAAGTAATTTATACACATTCCCCCTCTAATAGTGTTTTCTATTTTAACAGGATTAAGCCTTGTTCAACGTTTAAGACCAGATTTCAAACGAAAATATTCATCAATGTTTGATGATAACACTGTGGCTGAATATATCTATCACTGCAATGTACAATCACCCAGGTGAATATGAATTTCCCAGTGTATGTTTTGAAGTCTGTTGTTCATTTATTGAGTGCCTGCTACTCCCTCCAATGGCCATGGCAGCAGTGTGCACGCTATTTTTTGTTTAATTGTGGCATTTATTATATTGAAGAAAAACATACCATTGCACTTTTTCTGAATTCCTGGTACTGATAAATGTAAAAAAGCATCCTAATTCTATATTCATTCTCAATTTTTGTTAATTCTGTGAGTGTTTGAGCATTGCATTTAATTAAATAATTGTTGGAGAATTTTAATGTGTAAGGAATTTCTTTAAAAACTTTAAAAATAAGGCATTCCATTATTTTAAGTACTACCAATCAGTCATGCAAAATCATGGGCTCTTTCTGTTGAAAATAATGTGTATACCTTGGAAACTTACTTTTCTTAATTGTAAAATATGCCAACCTTATGTGCTCTGTACTATCAAAAGGCACAGATACTCCATTTTAGATAAAAAGCAGGTTCAATGGCGACTAAAATTGTTTTTACCCTTTTGAATGTCTTGAAGTGGTGAAACAGCTTTCAAGAACATGACGATTCCTTATGGATGGGCAAAAAGGCCAATGCTGCAACGGATTTCACAAATGGATCGAGACATTCCTGTCACAGTCGTCTATGGAGCACGTTCGTGTATAGATGGCAATTCTGGCAGCACTATCCAGTCTCTGAGACCAAATTCCTATGTGAAGACAATAGTAAGTTTGACTTCTAAAGCAATTGTTTGTTTTTTGTGGGGATTTATTTAAGCTTCATCTATGTGGCTAGGTTGGATGGGGCCCTGAGCAACCTGGTCTGTGAGGAGGTGACCCTGCCCATGGCAAGGGGGTTGGAACTTAGGTGGGCTTTAAGGTCCTTTCCAACCCAAACTATTCTATGACTCTGTTTTTTCATACCAGCTGTGGAAATGGTGTCACTTTTGATTTAGAGCCTGGGGTAATAAGTTCTGTTTTCTGTAACAGAGAGAGAGAAAACAAATGTTACATCCAAGAAAACCTAGACAAAAGTGTTGAGTCCGCAGGCTAAGAACAAAACTTACTGTAGCACTAGAAGCCAAACTAGATATGAAAGCATGATTCTATATTTTGTTCTACAGTATGCTAATAGAAGTAGGTGTTGTGGTCACTGTGTTTCAAACCACGCCAGTCCTATATTGCCATATATATGTGGGACAGTGGGGATGCTCTCATAAACTCTTCATCTGTCTACATAATGCATTTGTTCCTCTGATAAGAGAGTAGTTTTCACCTAGTGCTTAGGTTCTTGTGAGCATCTTTCTTAAAGTAATTTAAAAAATACTTATTATTGTCTTACTACCTAAGATTTTTGTTTAGAGATATGATACTGTAATTTAAAATGTGTGTACTTGCAACTTGATAGGAATGTGCACACTGCATTTTCTGTTGTTGATTTCTATAAAAACAAACTAATTTAAAAGTATTCTTTGCACATTTTCACATCAGTCAGCTGTGATAATTGAATATGCATACACGTTAAAATGCTGTGAGGTGATAAAATGTTTGAACACACCAGCTGTGATGTTACTGATGTCTGGAACTATCTGGACAGAAGTGTACAATGTGTAATGTTGATAGTATGCTATAACATGTCATCCAAATAAAATTTTATAACTTGATACAGCTGAATTTAAAGCTGGAACTCAGAGAAAAGACATTGTTATCCAGCTGTTTTAAGTGTCTTAAAGAGCACAGATACATTTCATAAATGTTGACATGCCGACTGGAAGTGTCACTTAACTGCTTAACCTGAGAGAGGAAGTTGTAACAGAAAATCACTGTCTAAAAGTGTACAGTATATTGCTGGGATAAACTTACACCATTCAGGGAGATTTTTTTCTACTCTGGTTAGGGACTTTAAGAAGGACTGTTGAAAATGTATTTTATTCCAGGTTAAAATTTTGCCAAGCCAAATACAGATGCTAAAAGGTAAATTGGAGTGGTAAAATTGCAGGCAAGCTCAAAAACCCTTAGGAGGGCAAGGGCTCTAATGAGACCTAGATGTGGACTGGCAGTGCCATGAGTGGTAAAATGCAGAGAGGTTCTGTGGTTTTGTTACATGCATTTATTCCTAAGTAATTTTTACTTTGAGTTGCTGAGATTTTTTAACACAATGACATAGTTATACTTGCAGGAGATTCGGTTAGAGACTTAAGAGATGGTGTTTTAAGGAGGGGAGTGGAAGATAGTTTTATATAAAGATTAGTCTTGGACTGACTGTAAAATAGAAAGAAAACAGGTCAAGTACCTTTGCTGTACATTTTGGTGACGGTTTACTTCGTAGCATTTTTGCAGAGAATAACAAATTATAGAAATAAGCTATTTGAGTGGAGAGTGAAGGGAATCAAGATTAATCCGAAATTTGATATGCAAGGTGCATATATCTGCTAAATTTGTTGTGCAGCGACTTATGCTCACTTAAGTGGTGGATTTTTTTCAACAAGGTAGTTGAATAGTAGTTTCACTTTCTTTTCCTGTGTGGGAAAGTTTCTTTACAAGGAGAAGAATATTTTGGTATCCCTTATGTTTAGAGTGTTTTTTAGGTTGTATGATGCCAACTCTTAGGTAATATATAAAAGCCAGGTTCTTCACCTGTCCCAGTATTTGTTTATTATGTCTTTGTGATATTGACGTGTTTCTTCACCTTTATCCTCCAGGCTATCCTCGGTGCAGGTCATTACGTGTACGCTGATCAACCTGAAGACTTCAACCAGAAAGTGAAAGACATCTGTGACTCCGTGGACTGAATGTCCTCTGTTCTTTAGAAAGTCATACTGTAGATAGCATTTAATGGCAATACTCTCTAGGAAATCACTAAAGAATGCAGAGCTAATGGAACAGGCTCTGTTTGCACACTGTTTCTTCTAAGAAGCCATTTGCACATTTAAACCACTGAGTGCCTATTTTTGGGGGGAATGAAGAGGTTTGAATTTAACTTTGTACAGCTTTTTTTTTTTAAATTGTCCTGTCAGATACAAAATTACATGTAACTTTTGAAACTGGAATTTTCTTCAAAATTTAATTGAACTTTGCACATGTTGAACTCTAAAAATGCTGAATTCTCCAACGTGGAGAGCTGTATCAATAGAGATACAATGTACAAAATGCAATTTGGTTTCTTTGTGAACTTTCGTACTTTTTAGCTGATGTTTCATAGCAAGAATATGAAACTGCATATGTATTTTATTTTTGCAACCCAGAACTCCATATACAATATTTTAAGAGGGTTTGTTTTTTAATTGGAATGGTAACAGCCTATGAAACTGATTTTGGGAAAGGGATGGGGCCAAAATAATAAGCAGTGTCTGTCACTGAAATATGTTTGTTAATTTATAAGAAATTGAGGCTCAATATTAGGAGATCTATCTTCTATTGGATTTTATATCCATTTATCTCAAGACATCCTTTTCCATCTGTGCAACTTTTACGGAAGACTCAGTTTGTAAGAGTCGATGATGTCACCAGCACTCATGCTTCCATAAATATTTTTATGTGTAGATTTCTGTGATTTGAAATACAGAAGATGGATTGTTAGTTACTCCACCTATTTTTAACACTTTACTGCAAGATTTGTTACTAGTCTAAATCTAACAATTGTGGATAAGCTGATAAGATTTTTGATTAGGGCTGGGAGATATCCACCTGGATTGTGAGCATATTTCCCATTTTCTTTCAATAGGAAGCCTAGTCCATATTTTAGTGAATTCGAGCTGAAGGAAAGGCAGAGGCAGAATATTGATGTTCTCTAATTGGGAACTACAACAGCTTAATGTATTTTATTTAACATTCAGCCTCCTTATAGGAAGGATTATTATTGGAATGAGCAAAACCACTCTAATTAATTGCAATTACATGTTTTGGAGATTCTTTATATATTTTAATTGAGTATTTCAATATCAGAGGTAGTCCAGTCTCTGCTACTTTTTGAATTATAGTTTGATGTTAGTATTTCACATGCCTAGTAAATTATGTTAAGAAAAATACTTGGTCACTTTAAAGCCAAATAATGTGGTGGTTTGTTTTTTAACAAGTTTACATACAACTATTGATCTGTTTTTGAATATTCAATTGACTACTGAAGAGTTCTTGATACTTTTATACAAGGAGAATTTGAATTAATGGTAGCACCGTCTTAAAGCTTAAAGCTATGTGCATTTTTTTCTCAAATTAAGGAATTATTGCACATATTTATGATGTGGAAGGCAAAGATACCTAAAATATTCAGAAGATAACGTGATCGTGTTCCCCAGCAGAACATAATCTCTCTTACTGAAGGAGATATTTATCTATATGGTGCTATGTAAACATCAAACAATTTTTGTGACTGCCTTGACTGGTAGCACTTCATATCTAGCAAGATAAATATTTTAATTAAAAATAAGTATTGAATGAAATTGGAAATTGCTAATTTCCAATTAGCAGATGCCAGAACTGTTAAACAAAATTTTGGGTTATTTGCTAAAATCTTGAGTTGAAAATGGAAAATCAGAATTATCAATTCCATGTTTTAATATAAGCTATAAATTATCAGTCATGCAACCATTTAGGTGGATGTCTTCTGCATGTTGGTTATTTTTCACCCTTTCAGTGTCTTATTTTCTATTTATCAACTTAAACAGCTGGTTTAGTTGTGCTTAAAAACCTAATGCAAAAATAAATTTTGAGTCTCCTCCAAATAATAAAAGGTGAAACAAATTATTGTTATTTTCAGATAGCACTTACTGATGGGAATTGTAGATTCCACATCAAAAGTTGGAAGTAGGGATAAAAATTGCACACTGGATGTGAATATTGTTTTAAATATCCCTTGCTTATTCAGCTTATTGTACTAATAAGACTTACTGCTTATGTTTTGCACAATAAAAAAAAATTCTGAAATGTTATATTTGATTAATGTTAAGACGTTATATTACTTTTTTTTAAATTATGTGCAATTAAGCTCTGGAAATCAAGAGTTATTAGTAAGTTGAGGTAAACAATCCAAAATACGTTAAAAATACAGTAATGCTTATTTTCAAATGTCTCAGTGTTCTTAGGTTTCCTTGTATTTAAGTGAAACTGGTGAGTGTTTGTCAACAAGTAGCTGCAAGCTGAGAATGTTGATTGTATGTATAAGGAAAAGGATTCTGTAGTATCTTCCAGGCAGTATTAGATGCTGCTGTGAAGGTCAAGGTGGAATTCTGAATGTCCTACTGTGTGCAACATAACCTGATCAAATTACTTTAATAAATGTCATAGGAGGTGCTGAACAGAAAATGAATGGCTGAAAAGACTTGGGAGCTAGACCTTTTGTGAGAAATTACTGCCTGGAAATAATCTCAGTTTCACCAGAAGTTCTGTTTCAGTGAATGACCAGTTGCTTAAATGTACTGTGGTGAGCACTGAATGCTGATGATGCCATTTTTATAACAGCACTATAAAATAAGAAGAATCACAGGCATAAAGGCACCCAAAGATCTATCCTAACATCAAAATGAAGACAGCTGTGTCTAGAGCGTAACAAAAAGAAGCCAAAATATTAATAAGAATAATAATAAGAATAAGATAAACTGCCCAGATCTCCAGGGCACACTCTTCCTGAGGTTGTTGTGATAAAATTTATTTAAAGTAACTTAGTAATATTTTGTTTGCCGTGGCTGAGTTCATCTTGTAACTTATTGAACCCTGCCAGATTAGATTTTAGTTCTGAAAAACTGATTTTCAGAGAACTTGTTGATAAGACTCAATAATAAAATATTTGCGACCATCACAAGGAAGTCCCTGTTTGTATCTGATTGTGAAATGGAAAATGTGAACTCATATGTGTTGGTCTTAGAAAAATGGATTCGAAACAAGAGAAACGTCATCATCTGGTTTCACTTGGATTAAACCAATGCTGGCATTTCTTTTTAAAAGTTATCTTTTTAAGATTGCTGCAAGAGTTTGTGCTGAATTGATGTGCCAGTCTCTGTCTGAAACGCTTTCTGTGGTCATTGTGGTTCCTCAACTTCCCAGCCCTTCCAGATCAGAGTTATTCAGCTTTTTCGGTGGGATGAAAACAAGATTAAATGCAATAAAAACATCTGGAATTAATGTGTGGGCAGACATTTTCAGGAATGCCTGTTTTGTTAGCATTCATTAAAATGTGAGCTTGCAGAATCCTAAGGCTCACAGTCAACTGCTTTTAAATGAGGCTTTACAGCATATCTGTCATTTTGTTGGGTTCTTTTGGCCAGTTGACACTCAACCCATCCTGCAATCTTTGAGCAGCACAGCCTTGTTGACTTGAAGCCTTCATCGAGGGATTTATGTTTTGTAGGAAACGCAGGTGAAACTTGTGAAAGGATGAGGCACTACAGAGCTGAAGAGAGACACATTTTAGTGGGGCTGGCAGGATGAGAACAGGACACAGGTGCATGCAGCAACTGTCTTCTGGTATCAGTGGCAGCAGATGGAAATGGATGGAACCTTCATGGAGGTTTTCAGGTGAGGCAGGTGATGGACAGACCACTGTGGAGAGCAGAGGCATGTGGCTGGAATGACAGCCTACAGCAAAAGGAGCAGTAAGAGCTAGAAAAGAATGAGGCAGCTGGAAACAGAAGAATTCAGCTGAAGAGCTTTGGGGTGGGAACATTCAAGAGCCAGTCAGCTTTGGAGAAGGACAAGGGAAATGGTGAGGGAAAGGTTTGGGGTGTCTTGTGTGCAAGTAAGAGCTTGCCCAGGTAAGGAGGACACCTGCAACACCAGCTGGAGGGAAGTCTGATTGGAGAGCTTGGGTCTACACTATGTGGGGCACTTAAAATGTTTTTGTATCCTTCCTTTGACTAAAGCTTGTCCTTGGAATGCAAGTGCTTTTTCCCAAGCTGGACACCATTTCCTCAGACTTGTACTTGGACAGGAACCTTAAAGAATTAGCTGTCATGTAGCACTCAAGAAATCATTAGAAACTGTATTTCACAAATCAGAAGTGAGCTGATGCCAAAGCACGTGATAGGGGGTCACTGGACTGCCTGAGGTAAGATGAAAAATCAAGATGAACAACAAGACTTGTCACTAAAGATCATCTTTTTCAAGAGAAGTGGCTCTCTTCCAGTTTGCCTTCTTGCCTTTGATCCCAGGGATATCCTACCTTAAAGTTTGGATGTGGGTAGTAGAATATGAAAGTGTAAAATATGGAAATATTTGCCACATATACTTTAGGAAACACAAGTAGCAGGAATGTACTGAAGACATTTTTAGGTATGCACATAATTTGCATTAGTAATTAGTAGCAAGATGAAAGTGGTGACAAGACTACAAGTTAGGTGCTTACTTGCATATTATGCTTCACTTGCAGAGGAAAGCTAGCAAACTGAAATTGTTAGTTTTGGGAAGTGAGGCAGGGCTGTAAAATAGAGTGTGACCCCAAATGCATGCTGAGGAGTAGATGTGCTTTGAAAATGAACTACTGCAAAAGCAGGATCTCGATATATTTACAGGTCTATTTCTGCACTCTCAAATTCACCTATTTGATGTGTGAATGACTGGAGCTGTGAATGGAGCAAGGTGTGGCTATCACTTTTGTAGCGTTGTGATATTTAAATGCTTGCCTGATACCCACCTGCCTTTCTGATTCGACTTTTTTTAAGGATTCTTACACTCACTCAGAGCTCAAATCTAAAATGGAGGCTAAAAGCTCAGTCCATGCAAATCCTCCATCTAGAGGCCCCCTCTGAAAAGGAGATTATTACTCATGTCTACCCAAGGTTTGTGTTCTTCTTGATGCCTGCCAGGAGTGAGACTGCTTGTCCTGCTGGATACCGAGCCCGTATTCAATGGCCAGTTCTGCCTCATGAGTACCCCCAGTAGATGCTTTGATAAGTACAAAGTTAAGGAAAATAACCTGCAAACACAGTGGAAGTCAGACTCTGGTAGTGGGGTCATGCATGGGGGAAGAAAGACCAGCACATGATGATTCCTCAGAGTGGTGGGATGGTGAGCCCCATCCAGCACCTGACCCTGGTTTGTTTCCCAGCTTGCAGGGCCTGAGCACCACGCTGCTGTCAGATTTGCTTGCTGCACGCCCCCAGCTCACAATTTATTTCCCCATGTCCAGCTCCCTGAGCTGCAGGATGAAGCCTTTGAGCCTCTTGGGCATCTTAAACACCTCTGTTCAAGCATTCCACCAGCAGTGAGCCTGCTCACAGCTGAAGCCACCGTGGCTGTTTCCTCAAAGGAAATTGGAAGAGCAATAGTGTATGCAGGTGAAGCACAGAGAAAAGTCTCATCCCCTGGCACTGACTCCTTCCTAGCTTTCAGCCCCTCCCTGTGCTCAGCGAGAGGCCTGGCCATGCAGGAGGTTCCTCAGTTAGGAATATGTCTTCCTGACCAAAAGTTATCACAGAATGGGTTGGGTCATAATAAACTTCTAAGATTATCTAGTTCCAACCCTGAAAGCTGCATCCAGCCTTTATTACCTTCATGGAGATCTCTCATGCCTCAGCCCCCACGCCAATGGGTAATTCTGCACAGGCAGGATTGGGCTGTGCTGGGACTTCGTGCATTACTCCGAAGCAGCTTCCAGACTGTGTGATGCCTGCCATAGTTCTTGCCTGAGTACATTAGTTAGGGTCATGCTTTTTTCACAGAAGACAAGAATTCAAGTAGGTCACAGGGGTAGTTGTCATCAAAATGATGCATAAATTATTTTGGAGGTATTTTGAATACAGGCAGATTTCAGCAGCAGTTTGGGGGACAGCAGCTGCTAAGCACACAGTAGTGTTTGCCTGCTGTAGAATGACTATAGATTTGTTTTATGAGGGTTCTAAAAATAGTTTTTGCTAAAATGCTGGAGGTTAAGTGATAAAATGAATGCATTTATTTTTATCCCAGCAATGTCTGGAAGCAGATGAAAATCCAGCCAGGTGAATGAATCCAACCTCTCATTAAGTCACATCTTTAATTAATAGGCAAATTATTACAACAGTATTTCCCTATTTCCCCCAGCTCCTTCAGTGCAAGCCAGCTCCCAGCTGGGGCTGTGCATCCCTACCACCCCAGTATCTCCATGCCTGCACTGTTGGCCCCGTGGAGCAGGGATGGCAGGAGTAGGGAGGGAGGTGGAGACTGTCCCCCCCTTTCCCCCCTCGGCTGGGAAGCTGAGGCTCTGTCCTTTGCTCCATCAGTTCTCCGCAGACCCCACTAGAGGGGACATGGCGCTCCCAAACCGCCCCAGCACTTCCTCCGGGCTCCTGCTTCTGCACGGCGCTGCCTTTAAAGAAAGAAGCTGCACTGCAATTTCTTCCTCCACACTTGATAGATTGATACCTAAAGGCACGGGGCAGGGCTGAAATAGGTATTCCAGCCTTTTGATTCACCCCTGTCATATGGGAAAGGGCAGGTTGTGGAAGGGGTGAGTGTGGTGCCATCCCATTAACGCAGATCCCTCTAGTACTGCATCTTTGTTTTATTTATCCTAATGCCTTTTCACAAGGCAGAAATGAAATCCGCAAAGAAAGACTAGACATCGGAAAGAGGAGGGAGAGCACAAATGAACCTCCTCTGTTATTACAGACCAGCCCCAGAATGAGAATAAATGGCGATAAGAGGAAAAAATAACTGCGACAGAATTATTAAATAAGGGCCAACTTTTAAAGTGGCTCCAGTCTGGCTTCTAATTTTGTTCCTGTAATTTGATTGTGGGTTTAAATGGGACTGCTTAGACATTAGCTACTTGATCTGCAAGCAGCAGCAGGTAAGCAGCGCAGGAGAATGTGCCAGGGCTGGGCGAGCGCTGCGCCCTGCCCGCCTGCGGAGAGGGACGGAGGGCGGGGGAGAAGCTCCCTCCCTGCCAGCGATCCCATCACGGGCAGACCCGTGCTGAGAGCCCCGGACATGGCCCGAGTGGGACACGGGGCAGGTACCCGCAGGGATCCCCCCGTCTGTGCCAGCCTCGCCTCTCGCTCCGGGAGATGCAGCAGCAGCAGCTGCACCTGGCTGGCTGTGCCCCAGGAAAAGCAGTGGCAGCTTTGCTGCTGCTTAGCCAGGTCTGCA